GTGTGTGTGTGTGTGTGTGTGTGTGTGTGTGTGTGTGTGTGTGTGTCTGGTGGTACAGGATCAACTGGGGCTTTGGTGCAGAGCAAGCACCAATGCTGCAGACCCTAAGTTGGATTTGGCCAAAGCTCAAATAAACACCAACATGAATTCGTCTTTTCTCCTCGTGTCCACTTGTAGCAAACGTACATTTCTGGGGCGGAAGTAAATCATGGCGGGGGGACACAGCCCACAGTGTTCCTGCCGTTCTGCATGACGGGATCCACAAGTTTTTCTTATAAAATGAAGCATACAGGCCATTTCCTGACATTTTCCTCTTTGCTACGGTGGAACAGAATAAGAAGCATTTTGTGATTTTTCTATTTCTTTCTTTCAGATGATTTAAAAAAGAAAAAAAAACAGAAGATATTTTTAAAACTGAGTTTCAAGTATCAATTTCCACTTCTTGTCATCTTTTTCCTCCACCGGTGTCATTTAAGGCAGAGGGCCCCATCAGAGTCAACAAGCTCATATACACGTCTCTAATCTACTTACAGAGTCCACATACATGAAACAGAGACCCCTCTTTTTCCTTCAACATCCCRCTCCACCCGACCTGCACTGCCCTGCATTCCTCTGTAAAATCCACCACCACACACGTACACACAAGCTGCTGAGGTGATGTTCTGGTAAGGTAACAGGAATTAAGGCCCAAACCTCAGAATTTCTACTGAAGCTGCAGAGTTAACTGGAAATTGTGTGTGTGTGCATGTGTGTGTGTGTGTGTTACCAGTGGTGCAGGGTCAAGGATGAAAAAGACAAGATGTTATTTTCCAGCACACCGTGCCGTCACAGGATGGGCAACATACTCACATTTGAGCAAACACAGTATAGAAKACAAAACACACACAARTTAGTTTTTCYATTCCCGTAGGGACTTTGCATTGACTTCCATTCACTTTCCATTAAAACCTAACCCTCCACCCTAAATCAGCAATTGTACTGTGGTGAACAGGCTGATGGAGCACTGGGACCCAACAAGGCTGTGTTTTTATGGAACATGGTCCCCATGTTGTAGCAGAAACGTGTCCACACACACACACACACTCACGGCTTATGTAACCTTCTTCACTTGGCAGTGTGGGCAAAAAAAAGTTCAAGATCAGTTTAAGGTAATAAAACATTAGAATTTTATATCCAAAGATTGGTTCAGAAACTAACTATATGTTATTTAATTTTAAAATTAGCAAAAAATAATTTAAGAAAGAAAAAAAATAGTATCACAAATCAAACAGCAACAAAATGATTTGCTAAATATTTAGAGGTTCTGGATTCTGATGTTAAAGAGAATATCTTAGTTTTTTAAGTGGATATCTGTGGTTGTGTTTTTACACTTTGTAAAAACAAAAGAATGGTTAAAAGTTTACAAACTCAGGACCAAAAGAGTTGTCTGTAGATTGTCTAGTTTTCTATTTGATGCCAGCAGCAACTTCTCCAGAAGTGTGATCAAAGATAATTCAAAATAAGTTTATCTTGTAAAAATATACAAATTACTGTAACTAATATTTTAATAATTATTTGTATAGGAGTCTCATTGAGGCAGATCTATGCTTATTTAGCAAAGAAACGATCATTCAGATACTGTTGCCTTAATGTGACTGAACGGACTGAGTGAGGTCTACAAACTGACCAATCTGAATATAAACATCAAGAAACCAAGGTCTGTAAAGAGAGAGACCATGGAGCTCAGCAGAACACAGTAAAAAGACAGCATTAATAATTKTTTCACTAGTTAATATCAAAATAATTAGGTTTTGATGCCATTCAGATGATATTACAGTAAAAATGTTGCTTAGCTAAGCAGATCAATGAAAAACCATATTCTCTACATATTGAACAGCATGGTTCTGTATATTTAAAGCAACAATAATGCTATAATTAATTTTAAAATGTTAATTAGCTTTGTTAGCTCACAGATGAGTATATACAGCGGGTAAAATAAGTATTGAACACGCCACCATTTTTCTCAGTAAATATATTACTAGAGGTGCTAATGACATGAAATTTTCACCAGATGTCGGTAACAACCCAAGTGATCCATACATACAAAGTTGATACAAATGAAGTTATTTGTAATAATGTGGAATGGCACAGGGAAAAAG